AAAGGCTAATACCTGTCCCAAATCTCACACATACCTGTAAGTGTGCATATAATTTATTTAGATATTGATACTGTAGATGAACAAAAAAGCAGTCATTAATGTAGAGGGAGAAAAATCTATCTAAAATAGATTTTAATTACGTTACAAAGCAGGCCTCCCTATATTAACATTAGCTGTCTACTATGACTTAATCAGATCTCAATCAAATGCACGTAACTATAGACAGGACTTACTGTATGCATTTAAATAATAAAAGGATTTCTGGAATTATATAGAAAATTCATTAGGAGTATTTGTCACTCAGCAGTGAGCAACTATTTGTGAGTCAGGTGACTTAATACATTTTAATCCACATCAGTCAGGGCACTAACAATGAGTTTATTTGGATTTTTTAAAAAAAAATCCTTTAGACTAACAAGTGAATGTTCAATCTTCTAGAGACAATGAGAAAACAGATAAACCAGCGAGGGACTATCTAAATTTGATGGTCTTTGTCTTAAAAAACAGACTGAAGGAAACACAATGAAAGCATATACTTACTGAACACTGCAATTTAAATGGTTTTGTGTTAGTAGTGAAAGCAGCACATGTGATAAGGTCTGGGTCCTCGCCTTCGTTCCACTGTGCCAGGATACCGTTGTAATAAACAGACACGCCAGCCTTTGACAGGGCCTCCTGAACAGCGCTTTCGATTTCGTTGTTGTTAAGGCAAGTAACAGTTGAGCTGAGTGGAGGTTGTACGAGATGTATGCGAGAACCATCAATTCCAAGAGATAAGAGGGTTTCTACTGTAGTGTAAATGTCAATTGTATTCCCGTAGACAATAACGTTCCCTAAGGGAAAAAAAGGGGTAAAAATTTCTAAGATGTACAATGAAAACCTTATTAGTATAACTCAGATGATAATAACATGAAATTGCTCTCTTTGACCCTCTTATTTCTCTGATGCTATGAAGCAAACAACGTTACCTAGCAACAGTAGCTAAGATAATTTAGTGAAGAATCTGTACAAAACATCCCACAAAGTAGGCAAGTACTTAACATAGAAGTATGACATTCATTCTGACCCCATAATTTGAAATTATTTTGATTGAAAATCCTCTAGGGTGAAAAAAACCCCACAACTTGTTTTTATTTTGTTCTCCCCTCCCTCCTCGATTTTGCTCATTCAAAGGACTTGTGGGGGACAGGGGGTGGCAGGGACAGGAGCAAATTAAACACATCATGCAGAAAAAAACCCACAAACTGTGGAAAGACCAAGTTGTAGAAAACAAGCCATTGTGCAATATGGGAGGTCACCAGTGCTGCCGCTGCCTTCCGCAAAAGCCTGGCCTCCAGACAATGGAGATGCCCCTGCAGACACGCGCCTGTGCTTGCTGCTGCTGTCTGCCGGCTCGTCTCACCGAACTGCCCCGCAGAGGGGCATGGGCAGCCGAGGCGCTGGCAGGGAGCTGGCAGCTCTGTGCTGCTCTTTGAAGACAGCTGCCTCCCTCCAGTGCACGTCAGAGAACACGCAAAACCTCAATGTCTCAAGAAGTATGCGCTTCGAACCAGGCAGCCTCTGTCCTTGCACACTGCCTGGAAACCAGCAAGCTTCAGACAGACATTTCTGATCAGCTGGTATGAAACCAGCATTTGGGTATTGCTACTCCTTTTGCAGTGCATTGTCACCGCTGGGTCCCACAGGTCCCACATGTCCCACCTCCCAGAAGAGTGCCCTTACATGGTAGGATCTTGCAAATTCTCTTACTGAAGCGGTGCCACTTCAAACGGCATAGTTAGAGCTGAGAGCAAATACGTGAGGAAGGGAGGGAAGCAGGCTCTGTGAGCATAATGTGACTCTCCAGCCTAATGGCTAAAGCTCTCCTGGCAAAGAGGAAGGCAGAGCTGGGATGTGTCAGAGCATCTGTGTGGTTTTTCTAAGGATGGTTTAATATAAAACACAAACATTCCTCTGAGCCTGAAACGTGCTCTTCTCCTCCTTGTTCCCTCTGCTTCCCTGCTTGGAATAGGAACCTTTTTTCTACTCCATGATCCACTAAGCCTTCAAGTAACCCACGCCAAATGGCCCAGCTCTTGTAGGACAGACTGGGAGCTCCTGTCCTGGTGGCTGAGGACCCCGTGCTGTGAGGACCACAGCCAAGCTCCTTGCCTGAGCAGAGGAGGCTGGAGCCCAGGCCTGCGGGCTCCTCCTGGATGCAGCAGTAAGCATGCACACCGTCACCAGCTCTGCATCTCTGCTGTGTTCAGCTGCCCCAGCAGCTAGCTCAAACTGCAAGGCCAAGGCAGATGGAGGAGCAGCCAGCCTGTGGACCTGGACAGACCTTCAGTAGGACATCAGCTCCTACACACCAAGTCTGATGGTTGTTTCCGTACACCCAGAATCTGATCCATCAGCACAAGGATGCACCAAGTGTTCCCAGTGCACCTACTGTCGCATACCTGGGCAGCGCTGCTGGTCAGCAGGTGCATTTATTGCTTCCTGGGACATCCCAGCCAGAAATAGAAGATAACTCAGCCACACCTACACAAGCTAACATTAAACATCCTTGCAACAGAGGATGTCATACACTCCAGCACAGAGCTGGGAGAAAGGAAACTGCAGAAAAGCTAACACCCCTCCCCCCAAGCATCAGTTTTCCAGGTAATGTGTGCAAACCAGAAGCCAGTGCACAAATCCCAGGCCATCCCAGGCTCGTCCAGTCTCAGACTGAAGCTGAGAGACAACACTGAGGATACAGGGCCTCATATATGAGAAGACTGACGATACGGCAGAAGGTTCTCTACAAGCTCTATAGAAATAACTTGTAGTCTGGCATTGAAGGAAAAGCAGAGGGTGGAATGTGCTGTAGAAGAATCAGCATTGGAACACAGGAGGTGTTTCAGGAATGGCCTTCAATTGACACAAACAGCACCCGGCACCGGCTCCCCACAGCCTGCATCGCAGTAACTGCAATCAGAATTTGGACAAACAGCTGACTTTCCGATGTAACTGGCTCGATCCTGACTTCTGGCAGCAGCTGTTTTCCTGCGTGGCGCTGCAGCAAGCAGTGATGAGCAGGTAAGAGAGTGTCTCGTGCAACCAGCTTGCACGTTTATCTTGGCATTGGCATTTATGTCTTACCACAAGTGATAGCATCCCCCACTACCTAAATTTTATTATTTCACAGGCTAAACTAATTTCACTGGGACTATGTTTTACTGCATGAGAGACAGAGCAATACTAAACAGAGCATTCACAAAGCCTGAGCTCCCGAGAATATTAATGATAAAAATTGTTAACACATGTTCTATTATTCCCCTTTGACTGTAAGGTTATTTTATTTGCCCATATCAGTTTGGCTACTTGTAGCTGCCAAATAAGTGTATCTCTTTGCAACTGCCACAGAAAAGAATTGCCCCATGATCATACATGCTCAGAAATGATGGAAAGTGTATTTTCACTGTTCACATCAATGACCAGAGGGACAGAACAATCTTACCTGCAAATGGAATCTTCTGAAATCAAAAGAAAGAGATCTTACAACTTTCATAAATGCAATAGATAATACATATCACGTGTGATAACGGGAATTCCATCCAATGCATACATTGCTAAGCTGGCTTCCCAACCCAGAAGAACCCTTTCTGTTGCTTGTGCCTGCCAGGACGCCCATCTGTAGGCAGTACTGGCCTCATGAGAGCACCAAAAAAGAAGGAAGACATAAGACTGTTCCCATTTTTTTTCACCGCTGCAGCAGGGTATAATGCAAGAAGTAAACAAGCAGCGCTATTGGTGAAATACAAACTCTGATATATTCATTTTTAGTAACCTAACATGCTAATAGTGCAGGTGAGAACGTGGTACAGGATGCTGACAGCCTCACATTACGTTTACACATTTTCAGTTGCCAAAGGGTGAAAAACATAAGCAGCTGAAGAGGATGCAGTGGCTGGGAAACGGGAATGAGAAGCGCCTACCAGAAGCATAGCCTAGCAAGGGTTTATCCTGACTCTAAGGCAAGCAAGTCTGGGCACCATTTGGCAGAACTAGCTTCTCTGGAGGGAAGTTCAGTTATTGCATTATACGTTGGCATTTTCGTATATACGAGATCAGATTCAAGCCCTGCATTTCTCAAGGAAAATTAAAATTCTGTTTTATATGGTAATATTAAATACAACTACATTAGATCAAGGAAAGCAGTGCTCCTTTACTGACCTCTTGTAAATCAACAATTTACGGTTTCTGCTTATTACAATATTAGTGGCTTTTTAGATTACAGTGCTAGTAGTCTAGGAACTACGGATATTAATTATGGACTGAAATTATGTTCACTGGACAGATAGCAGTTCTTCAGGATGCTTTTATTATTTAACTACATGAAAATGTATCTATCTGTGAGTAAACATAATAATCTTCCCCAGAAAAAAGCAGCCATAAATAAAGACCGTTAGAGTAGTTTTATCATTTACTACTAGAATGTCAGCATTCTGCGGCAGAGCAGGCTCATTCATTTTCCACAAGTGGAAGCACAAGATTTCAGTGACCCTAGCATGACCTGAATCTTTTTAGTTTGCAAAAGCTAAAGCAAAAAAACAGTATTAGTTAAAGCATCAGTGGCTCCAGTTGGTGATTCATGCACTGGAATTTTAATGCGATAGTATTCCTACAAACACGCTTTTAATAAGGCAGTAAACTATGTTTAGGTAAAGAGAAAAAATAATTGCTCCATTTTGGGCCATTAAAGCAGTTTTGTTCCTTACTTTACTCCCATCCTACTTTTTATTTTCATGGAAAGTGCAGAACTAATAGGAGATGAATTTCAATTAGTCACAATTACAGTTATAATAGGTTACATGCATTAGGCGGCTGGGATTCATCAGAGAAGCCACAGCGGCAGC